CACACACACACACACACACACACACACTCTCAAAGACACACGCACACACATTCTCCTGTCGATTGATGGGGAGCTGCACCTGCTGGAAAGTGGGTCCAACGTCCCATGAACATCGTGACTAAACTACCATCCACACACACGTGAAATAAAGCACCATTCAGGACCCCCAACACAGTACACTAATGCATAGGCTGAGCGCTTTCTTTGATGGAGACTCTAATCAATTAGCAGGTGCGAAGCACAAACAGTGATAATGGGATATCTCTCCTATCTTCCTAAGTACCCAGAGTCATGCCGTGATATGGAAGGTACAAAATCAAGTCTCGAGGAGTTGGTTGTGAAGGCGGCCGTCGAGTTGGATGTGAAGTTGGCTGCTGGATGTAGCAGTGAACAGGGCTGGCTGTCTGATCTGCAGTTGGGGATGACTTTGGCCAAGAAGTGCCTTGCCCAGCCCTGCACAGCTGCGAATATGCGAGGGATGCCGGACCCATTTTCTGGCAAAAATTCTTTTAAGCCCAACCAATTCAATTCGCAGCTCTAAGGCTGCGGTATAGTGGGCTTCGACGTCTGTGTCAAGGTGTCGCATTTTCGGCGGCGGGCAACCAGTACGCAAAGTGGGTTCTTTTGGGGGCAAAAAAAATTGGTGGACTGGTCCTTCAAGATATTGCGGACTACCTACAACTAAGTCTTGTAGAACTGGGACTTGTCGAAAAAGGAAGGACCGGTCCTCGGGTGGAAGCGGACCCCAAAACGAAGTGAGGTAATGTGAACTGCAAAAGGGCCCTCAGGCCCAGGCGTTGAGGCCCGTCTTCTAAAAACAGGGAGGTTAGGCGCAACCAAGCAGGCGTTTTGCAAGAGGCAACTTTGGCGATTTTTTGTGCTTGGAGGAATCCGCAGAAAAATCTGAAATTTTGAGAATCCATAGATGAGGTCTTGTTCTTCCATAAAATAATTCAGACCGCGGAATAATGGTCGCGCCGGTTCGGCACATTGTCCATTTTTGCCACTCAGCCATGCGTGGGCCAACTGAAAAAGTACTCCAAATTCAGTGAGTTTTCGCGCTCAGAAGAATGCGTGAAAAAACCCGAAAATCGGACTAGTACTCGTAGTTTTTGTTGTGATCTTTCCAGGAAAAATGCTAAATAAAATTTTCAAAATCATTCCAACTGTGAAATAGATGGCTGCTGCAATTTGACCCATATTATAATTTTGCCATTCAGCCTCTCTCTCTCTCTCTCTCTCTCTCTCTCTCTCTCTCTCTGCGGTATCCTCCTCCCCCCCTCCTCTCTCTCTATCTCTCTTTCTTTCTCTCTCTCACTTTGTCTCTCTCTCTCACTCATATCACAAAATGGAACAAAACTCTCTCTCTCTCTCTCTCTCTCTCTCTCTCTCTCTCTCTCTCTCTCTGTCTCTCTCTCTCTCTCTCTCTCTCTCTCTCTCCTTGGTAGGCCCCCCCGTCTCCCTCTCTCTCGATCTCTCTCTCCTTCTCTCTCTCACTCATATCAATAAATGGAACAAAACTCTCTCTCTGTCCTCTCGCTCTCTTTCTCT